GACGAAAACCTAAATAAATATTTTTCCTAATTACTTATGTTTAGAAGATACAGGGTGATAAACTGTTACCTATCATATCATATAAGTTTCGGCTACCATTAAAAAGGTGTACCTCTCAAACTTCGATAAAATAAACCGTTTCCGAGATATACGAGATTACAATAATTGTTATATCGCATTATTTAAAAGGATTAAAAGGTATATAATAACAAATTTTATTTTTTAATTAAAAAAACTAAAAAGGGTATTCTATGAGCCTCGAGACTTTTTGCCCCGACCGTCAAATTTAAAAAAAAAATGTAGTTTTTTCTTCTTCTTCTTCTCTGGTTTGATTGGCCTTTCCCTTCCGGGATTTAGCCAGCTGTATTTTATTATTATTATACTGGAAAAAGCGAGTCTAGGATAACCTATAGCTTCTCCTTTTCTTCTTGGTTTTATAGTTTATTAATTATTATTATTATTTATGTCACTTTTAGATTCTTTTTTCACTTATAGTCTTTTTATTCACTTATGTCCATCACTATCATTTTTGTCTTTTTTAGAGTTTTTTCAATAAAGCTTATATCAGCAGCGGAAGTCACTTTTATTACACTTTTACACATACAAAATCACGATATTAGCAGCGGAAGTTACGAGGCAAAAAAAATTAAAAAAAAAACGACTAAGCACCACATGGCTGTTTGCAGAAATATATTCAGTCCTTCAATATAACGATCATCCTTTGTGGAAATCCCTTGCATCTTTACCAATCTATTGTAGATTTTGTGGATTCAACAATTATCAACTTATTTATGGCATTAATAAATTTTATGCGATGAGTTTCATATTATCCACTCAAGGATAGCCGATCCATCTACTTCAGCAGATAACACAAAACTGTTGTAGTTTTTTCAATTGACAATATGCAAGGAATGCGGTCGATGTTGCCAATGGTAAAAAAATAAAATTCCCTATTGGGAACATTCAATTATATTACGTTGGCTACACTGAAATTTTGAATTTCCCGCACAAACTGACATACATTCTAGTAGTTTCCAGAGATAAAGAAGGTAGTTCTAATGTTGTATAATAAATGAAGGTGCGAATTTCAAATGTGGGAATTATTATTATTTATTATTATAAAAAAAAAAGATGGAACCTGCTGTTCATTTAAATGAGTAAGATACAATTAAAATGACTGCAATAATTATTAATAGGATAAAAATATTTATAGGTTTGACTCTGGACAAAAAACTTAAGAAACTTTCCGAAGGATTTTGATGAAAATAAAATAATATTATATAAAGATCAAGCTACTGAGGGACAAATTAAACATCATGTATTGGGATATAGGATCTAGAAAGCAAAAAAAGTTAAAAATATTTTGTTACATTATGATTTAAACCAGAGATATCTCTGTTTAAACAAATTTAATGAGGTACTTATTAAAGCAGATGTGCAAGCAGTCATGAAAGAAAATATTTATAAAGTATTTGTTTAAATATACAATAACGGTAATATAGAAAGGGCAAAATGCACATGTGTAAAGTATAAACCACGAATATATGAACGTGACTCATCAGGCACAATTGTACGAAGCAATCTATCGAAGGTCACGGTCCAGTGCAGTGCTTTTCTAACGGGGGCATAAATATTTGTAAAAAATCTTGAGTGTAATGTTGGTTGCTATACTTCTGATATATTTTCTTTTAAAGTTAAATTTTAATAATTAACATCTACGATAATTAAATAAAATGTAATTTTCTTAGAAACTAATTAACAAATAAACTTTTCTTTTAACTTAAAACGCAAATATTTCAGAATTGGTGATAAAAAACAAAAATGTTTATGCAGGTCAGGTACAAAGTGAAAGATATTTAAATTGTGTGGATATAAAAACAACTTGCGTTAGTTTCACGAAATTTATTAAATATTGACAATTGTTTCGCTACACAGTAGCTTCTTCAGAATGTATTAAACTAATAGTAGTACAAAATTTATATAATAAAAATATTTTTGTATTCTAGCCTAGAATTTCTTGGTAAGGATTTTTATACGACATCTACCTGTGTTACATAATATAAACCACTGCCACTACAACGTTTAAAACAATTATTAATCCGTAAACATACACCGATTATTTAAAGTCCAAAAAACGTACAATAACAATTGCAATAAAGTCCAATAAACGTGCAATAACAATTGCAATAAAAACCACTAGCACTACAACGTTTAAAACGATTATTAATCCGTAAACACACAGCAGAAACACGATATGCAAAAACAAAGATCATATGACATATAAAAACAAATGGCCCAGTGGCGGCTCGTCAGGGTAGGCCTCTGAGGCCGCGCCTCACCCTTAAAATGAAGGAACGAACGACTTTTTGTATTTAGATTTTTGCCTATTACAAGTGTACTTTTAAAACAGTTCTACCCAATAAAAAGTAAAAAACCAATCAATCATACTAAGCGTAAATAAAAATCCAGGCGCAAAGCGCGTCAAGGTAACGTGCATCGTTGAGAGTAGCTGGACAGAGGCGAAATTTTCACAGCCTCGGAAGCTCGCATTTACATCTAGAAAGCGAAACTGACACCAACAAAAATATCGCCGGTAGTTCGCGAATAAATACCGTAGATTCAGTCGGAGGCGAAATTTCGTTAGCTTGGCTTGTTGTGATTAGTGGTTTTATCACATGACCGATGATAATCGCTTGTGGGGGTCCGTCTATGATGGGATACCAGTCACTGGCAGCCAGTGTTCTCTTAGCGTTTGTAGAGTACGTTATTGTTTTGATTCTGATTAAATTATTTAAAACTTTTGGCTGATCTTTTATAGTTTTTGTCTCGATTAGTAAAATTTCTTATTTAATTATTGTAGGGAACACACTAAGGTAGATTTAATAGTTTTTATTAAGCAAATTTTATATTTTGAAATAATAGATTGCATAATTCTTTAATTAGAGAGGCGGTTTGAAAATTTAGAATTACTTTTAAATCTCACTGCAGACCCACAATTTTACGACCAAATAATAGATAAATTTGCAAACTTAGACGTATAGATTTAATTTACAAAAAGTAGCTATAGTATTTTATATTTACTAGGTATTACTTAGGGTCGACTTTTTAGTTTTATTTTTATTTTTTGATTAATTTATTTATTTTTAACTTTTTTAAGAATATATTTTTAAGTTTTAAGATTAAAAGTAGTCTTTGATGTGATATTTTGTTTGTTTTGTTTTTTAGACTTTATTTTTTATTTATAATGGTTTAGTAGGGCTATCGGCGATGACCTCCATTTTAAAAAAGGTCAACGCGTCGCAGAATAATACCTCCCGGGTGACGTGGAAATTTATTTGTATTTAGACAAAATTAACCTTATGTAGCCTCACGAGCCGCCACTGAAATGGCCGATGGTAGAGTTGGTTCCCTTACTATGTAATAAAATAAAATAAATTGCCTAAAACACGAACTCTACTGAATTCCAGCAAAAATAAGTAACAAGCTAGGACACGCGTCATATGTCCATCTTTGTCGAACACCTAGGCAGTTTAAAGTGAGATCACATCACAGATGGCGCATTTTAGACCGGATGCTTAAAAACCTACGTGTGAGTACATTTACCGCTGCATCGAATGTACAAGACAAGTAAAACATTACTGCTAGCATGTCTGAGATATGTTCGGCACCCGATGAGTCACGTTCATATATTGGTGGTTTCTACTGTAGGTGGCATATCTGGAAGATGTAAACATGTATTTGGTTTACTTTGGACATTATTGGATTTTACCACAGACCACCAAAACAAATGGACGGATTTGTTTACGTTTAAAAAGCGAGTAAAGGATAATTTCACATTCTAAACACCGTCGAAAGAAACACGGCTTCAACGTTGTCAGAAGTATAGATTACACGCCTTTTTGGACATAATTACATTACATAATGAACATTAATAATTACCAGTAATTCGTTTGAATAATAAAAAAATTGTAAAAAGGATTTGTTCATCATTTTCTTTAGATATTTTTCTCTATTTAAAGAAAGTAAATCATTTAATAATTATTAAAATTAAATATTAACAACGTTGGTAAATTCGTCATATTTGACAGCATAGAAAAAGGTTATGTTCTGTGGGTTGACAGCTTGTTGTTTTGTGTTTTCGTTTGTGTATTTCTATCGTGTTTAAGTTAATTATGGAGTTTAAATACATTATTTTTTACTAAAAATAACAATCTCCAATTTGACGCTTAGAATGTGACCGTTTGTTGACCGCAAACAAAGCATTGTTATTGAATGGCAATGCGCCGTCCATTTGTTTTGGTGGTCTGTGGATTTTACAAGGGAAGAATTAAATTTAATGACAGATAATAAGATACAATTGAACTACTTGGAAGTCAAATTAAAAATTAATTTAGTTTGTGCGAGAAATTCAAATTTTCAATGTAGCCAACGTAATATAATTAAATGTTCCCAATAGGGAATTTTATTTTTTTACCATTGGCAACATCGACCGCATATGGTCAATTAAAAAATTTGTTATCATATACCTTTTAGTCCTTTTTAACTTTGAGGTTAGGTTTTTATAACATTTGATGCAATTTTTCAATTACTCAGTTCGGCTACTATTAAAAAGGTGTACCTCTCAAACTTCGATAAAATAAACCGTTTCCGAGATATTCGAGATTACAATAATTGTTATATCGCTTAAAGTAACCCCCGTTTCTAGGATACTGTGTTCACTCGAACAATTGTAATTATGTTTGAATATGTGTAAGTGACTGTTCGCAAAATATCACCTTTCCAAGTCTACCATAGTGGAAGTTATATTAAAAAAACTGATATGATAAGTAACACTTTATCACCCTGTATCTTTTAAACATACCTAATTAGGAAAAATATTTATTTAGATTTTCGTCTTATTCTTACTTGCTTAATCTGCTCCTAAATTTATGCCACTAAGTTTAGGGACACCTTGTATATATTTTATAATTAAGATAAACAAAAATAATTATTATTTTTAGATGACCAATTGGCAATGATATGTTTAGATATTTTTATTGCTGGTTCTCAAACAACTAGCAATACTCTGGACTTTGCATTTCTTGCAATGATTCTATATCCAAATGTTCAAACAAAATTACATAACTATTTGGACAACAAATTGAAGAACACTGATAAATTGGAATATAACGAACGACAAAGGTAACCGCAAAAGTAGAGAAATATAAAATATACTAGGGCTTATTTTTGCCTTTATCGACTTTAAGGGGTAAAATTATGTTTAAAACATAATTAAGGTCCTTATAGGGAGGTTTAAAATGATATACATGCTTAAAGGACGGAATTTATAATTCAGCAGCCCTTTAAGGAAAATATAATAGTAAATAAATATAAAAAAATTAAATTGAAAAATGGTATTCTTATGTATTTGTTAGGAATACTTAATCTAATTTTTGTGGTTTTCATTTTAAAAACAAATATAAAAATCAAATTTAACTATCTAAGCAAAATTGTAAGTAAATGTACCGGTTGTGAACGCAATTTTTAATATTTTTACAGATTACCCTACGTTGAAGCAGTTCTTTTTGAGATTGAAAGATTTTTTCATGTTGTTCCTATATGTGGTCCCAGAAGAGTTTTAAAAGAAACAACTTTGGAAGGATACAATATCCCAAAGGTAATAATATTACATTATATATGTATATATACATATATAATATATAATCAATTTTAGATTTAAGGGGGACAATTTATTTGTATATTTTTAACCCCTTAACTTCAAGCCCCAAGCGTCAGTAGTTGACCCCGCTTCCCATTAAAAATTTTAGGGGTAACTATTAACCACGCTTAGGGGTTTAAGTTGAAAGGCTTGAAAATATAAAAATAAATTGCCTCCTTAAAATCAAAAATCTACATGTGCGATCGTAACGTAACACCTGAGAAAACGGTTAGTGTTAAAATAATATTATAAATAATAATATTAATAATAATATTTCTCTGGTTATTTTTGGGCGAGAAATACCCCTGAAATTAAACATCATTACTTTTGCACTAACCGTTTCTGAAATAATCTATAAAAACCTAATTTTTGAAAAAACAGTTTAAAATGCCTATAGCGCCCCCAGGAGACATTTTCGGACATCTCTTTATAACAACTTTTTATTTTATAGAAATATATTAACGTTATTTCCGGACACACAGATTTTAATCGGATAAATTTACCAGTCAAGAACGAGTAAGTTAATAAAAAAATATGTTTACACCACCGGTTTTTTATGAGCTGGTTAATTTATAAGAAAAAAATTAAATTCGTTTCCTGCTTCTGACCATAATGTTGACCATTAGTAAAGGTGATAATCAACGATTACCAAACGTAGCCACGGTCTTATGGAAAAGTGGAGATAAATGTGCTAACCCTCGAGGAGATGGGCATTCTTTAAATGGCATTAAAACGGTAAAGACGCGTGTTAACCTGGACCGTGGATTCGTTATAATCGTTAGCTATAAGACTATAATCTCTAGTGTCTATTTTTTTGTCTAGTTAGATAATCATAATAAAGGGTACTATTGCGTGACCTAATTTCTTTATTGTCATGAACATTTCCTTAATATAAATATTTAAATATAAATTTATTTAAATACTTTTAAATAAATATCTCATCATGGCAATTTATAGCTGGCAACATGGCGAACTACAGTGAATTTTCCTCAAACCTACCGAATGCAGAAAAAGAACTCTCTCAATTTGAGTCAACATCTGCTGTAAAACCTCAAGCAGAAAGAATTAAGAAAACAAGCAATGAAATACAAAATAAAGCAAACAATAATAAAAAAGTGTTAAAAATTTATTTAATTCGGCTCCAAAAAAAACGTTAATACATTTAGGCAGAGTGTCTTTAAATACAAAAAAAGAAGCCATTGAAGAATACGTAAAAAAAAACTTTCAATATACAAAACGTTACGGTAGAACCGTGCCCAGTTCGAGAAAACGCAAAAAGTCTTTCGTTTAAAGTGGAAGCGGACTTTTCCTTATTAGACGGTAGTAAATTAAATAAACCACATAAACATACCTATATCACCCAAGAATTAAAAGACCTCAAAAATAGCGTGAATGCTCTAGGCACCATTTTTAAGGTAAAAAAAGATAAAGAGTCCTTTGAGGCCTATAAAAAAATGAAAGTAATTTACAACGAAACAAAAAAAAGGAAAGAACATAACGAAAAAACAATAACTAACTCACAAAATAAAACCAAAGCCATCTGGAAGGTTATCAACCAAGAGACAGGAAAACAAAAACCACCTATAATCCAGAATAAAATTGATGGCGATACTATAAACAAATTTTTCTCAGAAGTTGGAGAAAAACTAAATGCAACTTTTTTAAATGATAATGAGCTGAGCATTGAAATTTTACAAAAAAATAAGGAAAGAGCTGTCTTTTCTTGTTTCTTTCATCCAGTTACCGAAGAAGAGATAGGAAAAATAATAACTACGATAAAAAGCAAAGAAACTATAAGTAAGATATATATGGTATGTCGACCAACTTACTTAAATCGATAAAGTTAAATATAATTTCTCCATTAACATATATAATTAATAAATGTCTTATAGAGGGAACATTTCCAAAATAATTAAAAAGGGCCAAAATTATTCCCATTTTTAAAAAAGGCGAAAAGTCGGATCCAAGCAATTACAGGCCAATATCAATCCTTCCTGCAATATCAAAAATTTTTGAAAGCGTTATAAAAACAGGTTGATTAAATACTTTGAAAATAAAAATCTTCTTAACGAAAACCAATATGGGTATCGTCAAAACAGATCAACAACCACCGCACAGCTAGCAATGATCACTTCAATATTAGAGGCTCAGGATAACAAAGAATTCGTGGAACTCGTATCAAATGATTTATCCAAAGCTTTCGACTCTCTAAGTACCCAAATCCTTCTGGATAAGCTAAAATTTTATGGAATTCGGGGACTACCACTAAATTTGATTAAATCATACCTCAGACAGAAAACAAGCGGTATATTGGAATGACAAAATAACAGCAGAAGCTACTGTAAAGTATGGGGTGCCGCAAGGATCTATATTAGGCCCAATATTATTTATTATATACATTAATGACCTAAAAATCCATGAAAGCAATGTCTGTACTTACCTTTATGCAGATGATACCACCTATTTAATAAAATCATTTAATGAAAAAGACTTAAAACAAAGGAACTAAAAACACTTGAAGAGTCTAAGACATGGTTTGAAGTAAACAAGCTAAAATTAAATGAAGATAAAACGCAACATCTTTATTTTGGAAAAAAGGAAAAGGATAATTTAAAGTTTTTGGGTGTAACCATAGACAACAAACTTACCTGGACAACGCATACGGAATATTTAATAAGAATGTCTTCTGCAATATATTCCCTTCGAGTTGTAAAAAAATTCAGTACACAAGAAGCAGCTCTCTGTACATACATTGCCAACTGCCATATCATCCTATGCAATACTTCTTTGGGGTACCTCTAGCTATGCTAGACATGTCTTTATAATGCAAAAAAAAAGCCATTAGAGTATTATGTGACCTTGGCCCACTAACAAATTGCAAAGAACATTTTATAAAATGCAAAATTGTGATACTACCAGCAATATATATCCTCGAGTGTATCAACTTCGTTCATAAAAACTTGAATAAGTTTTCTACGATAGGCCAGTATCATAACTTCAATACCAGATACAAGAACAATTTAGAAACTCCACTTCATAAAACGAAAAGAACACAACAGGGAATAGACTACTGGGGTGCAAAACTATACAATAATCTGCCAAGGGAAGTTAAATCTAAAAAACCAGAAGAATTTAAAAAGCTGGTTAAAAATATTTTATTAAGCAAACCTGTATATAGTATTGAAGAATTCTTATTGTAACTAGTCTATGTATCAGTTAAAAGAGAAGTTATGTTGTTTGTTAAAAATGTTTATATTGTACTTGTTGTTATACACATATTTATTTATATTTAATTGACTTAGCATGTAATTTTGATGCAATATTAAATGACTTATGACTTAAAAATGACTTATGACTTATGACATTGTATTTCAGGGTACAACGGTTTTAATAAGCTTACAATCAATTCATGAAGACAAACAATTTTGGGGAGATCCAGAAGTTTTTAGACCCGAAAGATTTTTGGATAAGGATGAAAACCTAATAATGTATGATCGATTAATACCCTTTGGGTTAGGTAAGATTTGATAGGATTTAAGAATACTGTAAACTTTACAGTGTAGTGATTCGGATAAATCCGGTCAGTACGGTCACTATGGTTGCAGTTGGTAGCAACAGGTATTTGACTGCAATTTTGATTTATATCTAGAACCTGGTTATACATGTCAAATGTGTGTGTATAAAACATAAGAGCAGTGTTTAATGGTTGAAACATACATAAGTCGACTACTAAAGCTACACATTTTCTAAATTAAAATCGGACAAAAATTGTAGGGGGAGCAATACTTTGAATTGTAAAATTGCCTAATTTTGCCTAAAATAACGATTTTATTTCGTTCAAAACATGAAATGAAAAAATTCTTTATGAGTCATTCCATATGAAATCAACAAATATGAATTAAAAAGTTTGCCGCATGATTTTTAATTGAAATAAAAAAATTGAGGATAATCGTTGTGGTACCAGAAATGCTAATCCACCATCATTTTTTTTATCGTATAACTTCTAGTCAGTAATTATCTTTAAAATGTGTATATATAAAAAGTCAACTTTTATGTACTAACATCAGAATTAATTACATACTTAAATCAAGTAACCTGTGACTTGTGTCCAACCAATAACATCATTTAAAAAGTTAAATCAGGCTCAGGGATGCCAGAATCCGCTAAATTTTGTTTAAATTCACCTTAACTACAAAAATGATACAATTAACAATAATGAATAACTTCAAATTGACAATTTAAATTGTATCATGTGTCATTTTTGTAATTAAGGTGCATTAAAACAAAATCTGTTGAATTTTATTGACAGATTCAGGCTTTATAAATTAAATTAGAGCATAAGCACTGCTTATGCTTTAATTTAATTTATAAAGCCTGAATCTGTCAATAAAATGCTTATTAGGTAAGCAGTGATTTAACAATGACTTAATACCATGGTAAAAATCGCAATAATTGTTTATAACCTTTACAAAACCTAAGAAATATGAAAAAAATAGTAAACGGGTTTTCTATGGCAACTGTCAAGTAAATATTGGTAACTACGATTTAGGTGCTGTCGTGTAGGGTAAGGTGGGGTAGGTTCGGACATGGGGCACCTCCGGACAAATCAAATTTACCGCCTTAAAGTGCTACGAGAGTTTCCATATTGACAGTAAATATCTTTCTACGCTAATAGTTCTGTGGTCCGTACATGTTTAGCGACTTTGATCACTCGACAACTATTTATTTGAGAAAATATAAAAACATAGTTATTCTTATAAATTTTATTAGGGCTATCGTAAGCTTTCTTGGCTTGAGAACACCAGTAAGGTAAGTTTTATACCTTTTACCGCAGATATTAATATCATAAAACAGCATCAGTTAACCATGTGCAAATTTTTATTTTGATATCTATGTATTTCTGGAACATGGGGCACGTTCGGACAAATCGGGTGGGGCAGCTTCGGACTGTCCGAATGTGCCCCATTTAACAAATAAAACCCAGTTTTGATTGATTTAACTTTCTGGGATGGTACGTAACTAATTTAAAAAGAAAAAAGGTAAAAGGTAAATCCAGAATTTATACAAGCACACCGGAAAAGGAAAGAATTCAAGAATTGGAAACAATGAGAAAACAAAAGTTGGAGAAAAAAAGCATTACAAAGCGAATTTGAAGTGAAGAAAAATGATACAAAAGTTGGGGAGAAGAGCAAAGGAAAGGCGCCGAAGAAAAAGTTAAAAAAATAGAAAGTGACTCCACGGATTCTGATATAGATTTACCACAGAATATTGTGCATGAGACAAAAATTTTTGATTCCGATTCTCTGGACGAGTTTCAAGACAATGACGATGTGCTCATGCTATTGCATGATGACGTGATCCATTGTCATGATTATTTGCTTGTCAAATACCCGACCAACAGAAGGACACTTCATTATATCGGCAAGGTAGAATCTTGCATCCGCTTTCCGGACTTGCAAGATATTTCGACTGTTTCCAGAGAAGATATAGTTTCGAAAATACCGAAGCAGCACCAGGAACTTCAAGGATGTGTTCGCTCTTTAAATTTAATGTCAATTTTGATGGTTATAATGTTTAATAAACTTTTTCTAATATAGTCTCTTATTCATTCTAAAAATAAATAGGTTCTAAATTTTCTCAGGCCTGTCCGAAAGTACCCCACTACTTGTCCGAATGTGCCCCAATATGGGGCAGATTCGGACAAATGCATTTTTTTAAGTAAAATATCACCAAACAAAAACCACTTAATATTTTTTGCTTAAGATAATGCTAAAATGTTGGAAATAGACTAAGCTATCCGTAGTATTTGCATTAAGTCTAAAAAAATTTGTTATCTTTGAAATATTAATTTTTGAAAAAACGTGTCCGAACCTGCCCCACCTTACCTACACGCTTACAAATTTTATCAAATTTAAAAATAAGTTTGACAACCAAAAAATTGTTACCCCTTTTATTTTACTGTTTTTACGTGAGTGTTTTTGCTGTTTATTTTCATCATTAACAAGTTACGCATACTCAACAATTTCTTTATAATAATGGAGTGTTAAATTGGTGTTTTCAAAGAAGAATATTGTCATATGCTATGCTTGATACACCTCTTTTCTCTTGTTTATAAAAATTCCAGCCTTTTCTGTCACCTCTAGGTTGGTATATTTAAGTAAAATCCTGCATATAACAAATATGTATATTGGCGGTTTTAAAAATAAAGGCATTAAAAATGTTTTACAGCCTTGCAACAATGACCTAAAGTGGTGATTTTTGGAAAAGGCCCTAGTTAGTGTCCTAAGACCAGGGCCGCCTGGTTAGTGTATGTATTTTACAATTTAAAGCAATTTTTTACCAAAATATTTGTAAATGCTTAAAACTCACTTTTTTATGCACTACAATTAATTTTAACTATCATAGTTCACATTGACAACACAGAATTTTGTTGTGTCAAATTTAAAATTGGTAAAATTAATATAGTTTTTATAACGAAAATTGCTGGGTGGATAGGCTTTTTTAGTTTAGTTATCTTTTAATACGCTTTTTTTATATATAAATTTATTGTATACAGTGTTACATGTTTTTTTCCAAAACATCATAAATATTTGTCGTCTGGCAACATTGTTAATTTTGATTGTTCAATTTTCAAAAACTTATTTTGAGAAGTTGCGGAAACAGCTTTATAATGAAACAAAATTCAATTTCAAATTTGGAGATTTTGATGAGAATTATTTATTTTTCCTTCAGGATGAGGTACAATCGTACCACTTGACTAACATTTAGGCCATGGCCTGACGGGGTGCACCCAGGCCCGTTCCTGGCGAGCGTGCAGTGCGTGCACGCACGCAGGCGCAACATTTCGGGGGCGCAAAATCAAAGAGTCAATCAGTACTTTGTAACGATAAACTTTCTTGCATATGATACTTAAACATACATTGGATAAAGGTTTCTGCCTTTTTTGCGTCGGCCGCTCTAATTTTTGGTGGCTATAAAGCGCCTTTTGCCGCTTTGATATTGGCTGCTTATTTTGTTTTGATATGAGGATCAAAATAAAAGGAGAGAAATGGTCATATTATCTTTAGTATTTGTTTGCAGTTGACGGTAGCACAGTAGTAACTCTCTAAAATAGAATTAGTGAAAAATGACTAATTCGATTAGTCCAATTGCAATAGCGAAAAAGCAGCGACTAATAATTATTGTCAATATCAATTTGTATCCCGGATATTTAGCAGTCAACTCCTATGTAAAATTGTCCGCTAAATCCGAAAATGTTGTCAAAAGTTATACTGCCGTCCTAAGCGCAGAAGCGGTAACTGCACATTTAAAGGAAATTGACATTTTTCCGTAATATGAACCTAGGGATAAAAATCTCTACTTTAATAAGGTATTAAATCGGTATTTTGTCAGTAAATGATTGAAATATCAAGTTATTTTTAGCGGTGTCTGTTACCAAACTGAGTTGGCAGAGCTATTAACATAAAAGTACCAATATCTCATGACAGCCATTATGTTAATTACCGCTTCTGCGCTTAGTACGGCAGTATAAAAGTAGAACGTTTTTGAGATTTAGTAAATTTTCTATATAATATGGTATTGACTGACTATATCTTAAAAACTGATTTACTTTTATAATTTCGGATTTAGGGGACAATTTTACATAATAATAAGCTGTTTAATGCCCGGGATACAAATTGCTGTGGACTAAAGTTATTAGTGGCTGCTTTTTTACTTTGAAAACTAGTCATTTTTATAGAGTACGTCACTAAAAACCAGTTGTAGTTATTATATTGTTTAGATTGTTTTTTTTGTTTTCTTTAGAGTATTTTTATCACTAACTATTTCCCTCGTCTTAATTTCCACCAATCACAAACGCGCATTTTGAACTACAAATGGTTTCTAGGTGGAAAAACTGTATGACAGCACCTGTCAGCAGTTTTTTCGAGTTTACCCGCGGCAAAACTTGACAGCTGTTGTCACCAAAAATTGCAATTTATATTTTAATTGTTAACTGTTACTCATGAAATAGTCTTGTCAAATACCATTCGGGCATCTAACTTTTCCTGTGAAAAAAAATCTTTAAAACACAATGCTAAGTAATATTTTTTAACAAAATGCATTCGTGCAAGTGCAAAAATCCTCGTCTTCGACTCGGATTTTTGTTGCCACCAGCACTCATGCTACTTGTTAAAATATTACTTAGCAACGTGTTTTTTCGATTTTTTTCGAAAAAATAGATGCCCTTATGATATTACTTGTTTGTTTGGTAATTTAATAAATATTTTTTATACTTAATTTAAGCGGTTTTTTACATTTTCAATTACATATTGCCAGTTTGTCTCAAAATATATATTTTTTAAATTTTACGGCTTAAAATTCAAATATTTAATGTATTATATTTAAATATACCTAAAAGGGGCGCACCAACGAATGCTGCACGCAGGCGCCAGACACCCCAGGAACGGGCCTGGGTGCACCCTTCACCCGTTTGTGATTTATTTTAAAGACGAAAGAAATGAAATTACACATTTAAAC